CATGTTAAGATTCCACTATTTACATGTTGAGCATCAATACAAATGTCGACCCATTAATGTAACGACAGGTTTAAAGTTTAACTTGATTACTTCGGCCCAACTCCATTTACGATGGATGTAAAATCTAACAACATTTAACGGGAAACATTTTGAAAAAAGTTATAGGCCCATGCGTTGTTCTAGTTGACATTTGTCAACTGCCATATATCTTTGCTCTCATCGTTACCTATTTCTGTTCCAAATGAATGGTACGTGTAACGAACTCACTGACATATTGGGGTGATTTTGTCCACTTATTTTCACCCTAATATAAAGCCTTGCATCCGCTTTATGTAAACTTTCATAAGGCAAACAGACATTATATAGTCTGCATTTTTCGTCTCGTACTGTAGTTACTGTTTTCACTCTCATTTGCTAGAATTGGATCAATTTTCATTCCTATCCCTATTTCAAATTTTCCGAAAAGGTTGAAAGATAATGCAATTGCTTTCGGTAGGATAATTTTTTTTTCAAATAATATAATTTTTAACCATATAATGTATTTCTGGTCTATTTTATATTTAAACTATCAAATACTACAGAACAGTGAATGCATCGAACCGAGATCCTCTGTAACCTTTGACCTTTCATCCTTTGTTATATAAAGAATACATAAAAAAACAGCGAGGAGATTACATTGACTTCGTAACACATTTTATTTATGCACATCGATTTCTTTGCCGAAATCGATCGTTAAATGCGCAGATATTTCTTTACCACGCACGATAAGATCACTTTTGTTTAACTCCTCATGGCATTTTAATGGTGTATAATCCAGGGGAATGATTTTTTCATATTAAGTTTATTATTGTTGTTGGAATTTCCGAAATCGTACAAAGGACACAAAAATAGCGTCTTCTTTTAAACATGTTGAAATTAGATACAAATACAGAACTATGCCAAACAATGCATTAAACTGTACTAGCTTTGAACAGGCAGGTTTTTTTTTGTTCTGGTCCCTCTAAAACTAACCCAAAAATCTATGCAATAGACGTATATTGTGTTATTGGTTGATAAAATTTTATAATTCCGTGTAAAATTGTCTTGAGAGTTTTACTATTCTTCACGCAAACGACTTTATCTCGCAATTTGGTTACATCTGTTTACCATTATCAGATGTGTTCGGAACCATCAGCAGTCTGCATCAACTTATTTTTTTTGATGAAAAATTCTTTTCAATTAAATTTATCTTGTTCTGGACGATCTACCCACAGTGAAAGATAGAAACAACAAGAAACAGTCATACAGATAAAATCATTTAATTTACATTTGTAAATAACATATTTTAATGGTGAATTTACAATTTCAAATTTCATAATATGCAGATTACAACATGTGGATATGGTTGAGCTACGATTTGTTGGTTTAACCTGATAGAATTGTAATGTAAGCATCTTTTTGAAATAATCTGTTCGAGTTTCTCTTTCGCTATGATATCCCGTAATATCGATGTATATTGTTCGAAAATAGACCACATATTAAGACTAAGAACAATATACTTAATTACTAGGATAAATATTCACGCATTTTTAATTTCAGTTTTATTTTATTTTACTGTATATAGATTTCTTCAATGCATGTTTTTAAACTAATAACTAATGGAATTATCTTTTGTATAATTTAATATTTTCGAGGTTTACTCTTTTCTAACAAAGCATTTAAAATCAATGTTAGTCTAAAATAAATATCTTATATGTGGATAGTACTAATTTTTAAAAGTTTGAGAAAAAACGCAGCCATATTTGTTATCAGTGTGTACTAATTATCAATTTTTCCCTTCAATTACATATCAATTTCTTGGTGTTGCATTTCTTTCATGTCATTGCATATCTTCCAGTAGCGTTTTAAAAGTAATCTTTTGACAACCATAAACAGATGTTAGCTTGAAAATAATATCTCCGATATGGATAGTACTAATTTTCAAAAGTTTGAGAAAAAAAAACTGCGGCCATATTTGTTATCAGTGTGTCCTAATTATCAATATTTCCCTTCAATTACATATTATTTTCTTAGCATATCTTCCAGTATCGTTTTAAAAGTAATCTTTTGACAACCATAAACAGATGTTCTTTCAAATGTTGTGACAAGTGGAGGCAGCAAGCGCCATGTTGGATATGTGGGTGATGACTGCTGATATCGACAATGCTACTGTAGCTAAGGATGAGAGGGCAGCGGGAAAGATGAGACGGGATAAACAAACAAAAAGCTGATGACAGATGACTTTACGCTTCAACTTGAAAAGAAACCGAAAATTTTATATCTATTTTTCTCAGTGTTCCGTTGTTATAACAAGAATGATAACGATGTGTTTTAGACTTATTTGATTACGTAGCCGTCATGTATTTAGAGAGGTTGTAAATAATTATTTAACTACATTTTCACGACATTTCGGTCCCCTGAGAAATGGTGGCAATGACAAGTTTATTTCTGTTATGCTGGTTTCCAATACTTTTCAAGGTTACACCAATTAGTTTCGTATTTCTGTTTGAAATGTTTTGTATTAAACAAACTTCCCAATATAATTTTAAACCATTATGTTCAGAGAGTGAAAAAAAAATAATATATTGAAATAATACACTAAATGCATTACCTTGGAAAATATATATTACTTTCATGATCTTGTTTTTGAAGCAAAATTTGAAACTTTTTGACATTCAATGATGTAAATATTTTTTAATGAACATTTAAATGTCTTGTGATAATGTGAACAATAACTTTATTTCCATCGTTCTAACGAGTTATGGAATTCACAATCGATAAAAAACAGCGATGGTTATATTACAAATACATCAATTGTCTTTAATAGTTTCCAATCTATACTATTTTCTTTACATATTCGGTGATTTATACGGATCTAAGGAGAAAAGGAAACCAATATGTCGGTCTATATCAAGCCAAATGATAGCGCTCTGTGACGAATGATAGGAATTGTCTGAGGTAAAATTGTAGAAAGACAAATTAACACTTGCCTAGGCCATATAATTGTATACTTTAGACAAGCCTTGGAACACTGTACTGAAAGTGATATGTATTATCAATTTGAATAATCCATTGATAGTTGAATAACGTTCGAACAGAAACTGGTCTTTAGAGACAATATTCAACTGTGTAAATGAAGAGTGAACAGAAACTAAGGTATGGTTGAATAAATTATTGATTAAAGTTAATTGAACTTTATCATTTGTTTCATATTTTAGCTCTTTTCATTCAGCAACATTCTGACATTCTATTTTTTGGCAGGGATGAAAGCATGGTTAGTACAGTGTAACTGTTATTTAAGTGTATAAACAGTGTATTTCGTATCGACACCATACTACATGTGTACATTGTAATACTTAATCTGATCACGTAGAATCTAATAATATGTCGTTCATTATTACAACACCGTTATTATCCACAAAACATTGAGGTAGAACGAGCAGTTAAGAACAAAAATGGTACGCTTTATTTTATGCTTCAAATTTATAGGGTTTGATAAATATGTTTAAATCATATTAAATAGTAATATATTTTTTATATATATCATTCTCGTTAGAAAAGGATGAAAGATTCAATGGACATATCAGATTCAGGAAAGTGTGTATATCAAAACTTTATTAAATTAAAGGATTATATATGCAATGTGTGCATGACGTCATTTCTATTGATCCGAAAAATGTGAATTTGTGTATTTAGATTTCCGTGAAAAAAAAGAAATTGAACATATCTTGGAATTGTGCAATATTGCTCTTTGCTGAATCTTAATACTTAATGGTAGCTTCATTTTGATTGGATTATAATCTTCGTTACGTCATCACATATTCGATATTGTGTATTGAACAATTAAGTGTAATATTACTCTAAAACATGAAATCGATTAATGCTTTCGTTTAGAGTTTAGTATGAAATAAAATGCACATGTATAACGAAAAAATGTTTCCTCTTGAACTGTTTAACTTAGTTTAAATTTTGATTTAGTAACGCTTATAACAATACATTTTAAAATTTAGATTGAAATTAAGATAGATAATACATAGATTTAGATGACATGCCCAAACCCTATATAATAAGTTCTACGAAAGATGAATCTTATATACTATAACCTAATCACACCTCTAAAAGGTAGATCTTTGATAAGGATTTTATAATTGAAATATTGTTTTGAAGGTTAAATGTTTTTTCTGTAATTTTTTCGCGATAAATTTTCGTTCCTATATTTTTTCTTTATATATATATCTAACGGGTGCGTCGATTCAGCAATGCACCTATCTGAAAATTTTAAACTGAGCTAGATCTGAGTGTGTAAGATTACTATTGCAGTAAAAAGGAAATAGGCATAACATAGCCATAATGCTATTTTTAAAATTCTACATTATTGCAAGGTTTGGTCAAGGAGAAGCCATTTGATACAAAGTCGAAACCAAATATTCAAATAAAAAATCATATCACTAGTTTTATTTTTGAAAGAAACATATGAACACATTACTTCTTCTTTAAAAGAGAAATATAATTAATGCGTTATCAACGAGGGACTAATATACATGTAATTTTCATGCTACATACATTCTTTGCTTATACAAGATGTGCTGTTTCATAAATAGTGGTAGCGCGAGTATACAATAACAGTCACTTCCACCCATCTGATCAAGGTCACAGAAATGCTTAGCTGTGTTCCAAGCGAGGGTGATGAGCAGACGATAACTATACACTGAATGACAAATATGAAGGTGTATTATGTATATGCAAGGACTGCAAAGCATCAGACGCCGTAAATGATGATGACGTCATTTTTACATTTTTACGTCACAGTTTTCACTATGAAGGCGGGTTTTACCCTTTGTGTGTATCTCTTATAGAGAACGATATACTATATGCCCTTTGTCTCTTGCATGTTCGACATATCAATAATATATCAAATATGCAAGCGACTCGGACTAAATATGGGACGAACAATATCACATTAAATACACTTTCCATCCTAGCTATGACGTCACTGCGTCATGTTCTGTGTCTGAGTTGTTATTCTCCCTGTCCGACAAACAGGTGTTTTCCTTCTCGGAACTTTCCTGATCACTTTCTAAACAGCTCTTAGATAATTTGGCTGGAGATGGTTCAGACTCACTGTCCATATCGCTATCATGATGAGTTTCTTCATCTGTTTCAAGCTTTGAATGGACTACGTCATTTTTCAGCTCTTCGAGATCACGTTTAAGTTTTGCACGCCTGTTCTGAAACCATGTTATAACTTGTGCATTTGTCAAACCAAGCGTTTGAGCGATTTCGTCTCTATCAGCCGGTGTTAAATACTTCTGGTATAAAAATCTTTTTTCGAGTTCATATATTTGTTGGTTTGTAAATGCTGTTCTTGATTTTCTTCGCTTCTTTGGTGGTTGGTGTTTCCCAAACAATGCGGCTTGTTCACGTCTTTTGGCGTCTGAAATAGTAAATAAAACAAATGGGTTACACATAATTGATAGAAAAGTATGACATGCATATTTGCGTGTTGCAATATCATATATCATCTTAATAACATCAATTAATTTCAAATAAATGACTGTATAGAATGCCACAAATCAATGCCGAAATGCCTCATTAATCACGAAATCATATATGAATATTTCCAACTTAAAGCCAATACAATAATAGTCGAGAGCACTTTTAAGGTTCGGCAAAACAAGTAAGAAATACCATTCTGATTGCCAGCAGTATTATTTTTATATCAGTTATTTGAACATAAAAAAGACATATATGGATGCAGTTTTAATGCGTTGATGAATATTAATGTATGTATTATACCAAGCGTAAAGGTGGATTTTTGTGGTCTCTGTTGTTTGATGGTAAATGTTTTATGAAAGCAAAAATGCACAAAGAGATAAATTGATCGATATATTTTAATACATTTGACTTTAAGAGTACACATGTATACTAGCCTTGCTGCCAGTTATCTTAGTGAAAATGACATTCAATACTGCCATGTACCCTATACTGTATATCTTTACTTGTATGGCTTCCCATCATCATTGCTAGTCATCAAAAACAGTTTCATGATAGAACTAAAAATTGACACGAAAAAAGGAAATTGTTATATTTACTGGTATCAAGAACGTATTAAACTATTAAAATGTATTACCAAGTTCCAGGTTACTGTATCGTTGGGTATTTTAGTGGGGTAATATTTCCGCTTTTTCGCGGTACATTAACGTGATCGCGAAAATTTAATTCATTGTGAATGAAAATCACAAAAATTACTAGCTATACGGTATCATGTAAGTATTCAACTGATTCGTCTTAAATGTTAAACACAATCGGCAGTATAGGGAATACCAGTACAACTCTTGCCATGTCTTTTTTAACATAAGAAGTGCAGTGGTTGTATTTGTAAGCTATGTTGACTTTGCAATCTATGACACTGTTGTTTGGATTTTTCCTAAAATAATATTTACTTCAGCGTAATTAAATGAGAAATTTTCGTTCATCGTTCACCTACGTTATCCATCAGTTAACTTGATATAATATATATATGTATATCTAAGATGAATCTCATTTACAGAGAAGTCACGTGCCAGAGTAACATACACCCTTAAAACAACATTAAAGGTTGTAACCATGGCCTTATATCAAGTTTTCTTTGTATAATCTATCTTATTTTCTGATTAAAGAAGAAAAACATTTCCTGAATAACTAAATGTCTTTAATCTTTAAGGGGAAAAAATGACCTTTTTAGGTTTTTTTGTCTGTTCCTTTTGTTAAAGAAAGATCTCATTCTAATTGTGTTAGTCTGATATAAGATCGATTTTGTCAATTACCACAGTAACGAAAATGATTGTGTGTTCGAGCAAATACCATCGATGTGTCTAGAAAACCTAAGTGGCGCTATAGGATTACGTTAGAAAGACTATTGTAGACAATGGAAGATATATATATTGGGTTTAGTTAAGCATTAGGTATTAAATACCTAAGCGCTGTCGTCTTGCGATCGTGTTTTGAAGCCAAAACGATATATTTACACTGACAGTGGTAAGATAAGCTTTCAACGAAGCCCTTGAAGATGTATACATGTTTTTGTCGTGTTTGTTGCCGACTATACCGACCAACCCAATTACAGAAGCATATCATTTGTATTGAAAACGGTTAATAGAGAATTACTGTTGCTTCAAATTTGTGGTTGAACATTGCAATGTCCCAATTGGCGGCATCTTCGGGGATTTTTTTAGTATTTTAATAATGTTAGAGTTAGCTTGTTACGGTCTTGACGACAGCTAACAGTCAAGCTGCCAAAGAAAATTAGATGTTTAAATTCGCAAATGAAAGAGTACATAGGGCTTGTAGCCATTTCAACAATCCATTTGTTCTCCGAATAAATCAAGTGCGCGAGATGGTTTAATATGCACATAAAATACGACTTATTGAATATCGGCTATCAAGGAATGCCAGCACTAGGATGGCGTGCTTTATTGCTACTGTTACTAACACCACAGATGTATGAGGAAACATTGTTTTCAATGTTTAATGTCTGAACCTCTAATAGGAGGTGAAGAGGTCCCGTGCTTGTGTGAGGTCCACGTGTGTCGTTGCTGGCCTGTCAGCATTATACTGAGCCTAGTGTGTTTTTAACAGAGTATCAAGCCTGTCGCCTAGACGTATACAGTGTACCATATGGCTCTTAATTTTCACTTACATTTTCCATTAAACTATCATCATTACCATTTTTATTAGTTTAAGGTACATTGCTTCGGTCAGACATCAGATAAAAAAAATGTTCTTTTTCTTAAAGGGGTGGGGGGGATGGGGTTTGGTGGTGGTTTGGGGGTATGGTTATGGAAATGTAATTTTCATGACTTTATTACATCAGTTGTTAAAATTTAAGTTTAAAGGAACCTTATATTCAATATACGAAGATAAATATTTCTATTTAATCTGAATATATGGACACTGAGAGAAAAAGCATCCTCAAAAACAGTGTAAATGGTTAAAGTATGAAGCTTAAAACGTTGTGAAAAGAAGAACTCTTTCAAATACAGCATGTACCTGTTCTTTATCGGTTCTCTGTATGTGTTTTTTTCGTTTGTTCATATGTTGTCCTACTTTTTTAAAATTTGACGTTGGATAATGATTATGTTGACATGTTAATATTTTCTTGTTGTATCTTTATTCCCATGCTCTTTACACATAACCAGCAAATATACGATTGTGATATAAATTGAGTTATTGAAAGTATTGTCACTTTTGCATCTCATCGACGTTTACCGTACATTTAACGTGTCTTATAAAAACATTTTCAGAAACACCTAACCTGAAGGCCGAGGTACACTTAGTAAACTTTCCAGTTATTGCCCCAAAAAAGTCGGCAGGTGTTAACATACGTTCATGTTAATTAAAGTCATCAATTTAATTAAAATTGGAAGTTTTTGTTTAAAGATATGTTAATAAAAGTTTTAAAAATGCGTATTTCACGTGAATAAAGACATATTTTCATATGTCGGTATGCAGTTTTTTTCATTTTGTAACTAATTAAATTACGGGCTCCCTTGAGAGTGTTCAAAATGCACACATGTATATTATTTGTAAATGAAATCAGTTAATGTAGAGGAAAAGCCGAGACTTTTAGTTGGCCTTAGCTGGGGTTAAATATGATGGTAAATTATAACAATGTTTATGATAAATACGTTAGATGCTAATTTTGTCATTTGTTTGTTTCATTTTCCTTCATCTGACAGTTTCATGAAGAAGAAGACATATGTACGAATATTTCATTAAATTATTCTAAGGTCGGCTTCGTCAACGTAAGACTTAAACAAACAGCATGTACTTTTCTAGTTTAAATCAATTTTGAGAATTAATGTACAGAAAATGCAAAGTGTGTCTTTGTTTATACTGACAGAAGGTAGATTTAGGAAAAATTAATGAATGCTATTTAACATAAAAGACTTTTTATTTTGTTAAACAACTACAGCGTGGAAAAAGAGAATGTATCACAGTGGAATATAGACATGACAACTGCGCTATGAACTTGTCATCCATGCCCGCTTCTGCTCAGCTGACAGAAACAAAATGGCGATAGCTGGACACCTTGAGAGTTCATGGTAGTGCAACTAGATTATACTTGCCGTTGCTGTCACGGATAATACTTTATATTTTCATTAGCTTCATTCAGGGCATTAGCATTAAAATATCTTTAGGAAACAGCTTCACAACTCTAACATCCTAACAACTTATGACAGCTGCGGTGCCATCAGTATCCAATATGGATGTTAAATGACTAAAGAGCAAAAGTCTTACATACTAATATCGTTATCTCGAAGTCGTGCAACTCAGGAGACCCCTTTTAATTCGAAGTAATTAGTCGTTACCAGCAAAACTTCTCGAAATCTCTCAAAATACTCTGATAACTCGAAGTTTCCTCATAGTTCCGTCGACCTCGAGGCAATACGGTTCGACTTTACTTGCTTAAAAAGGCAGGAAAGTGAATATCGCATATCTCTGGGTTTTTTTAATTTCAGAATTTGACACAAATACTGAAAGTGAAAAATACAGTCGTTTGGTGATAGGTTGATGCCTGGGTTCTGGGTGTAAGATCGTTTTATAAACGTTATTGCAAGGATTTGAAATTTCAAAAGTTTAAATCATCGCAATAACAGATGTTATCTAAAAAAGGAAAGTCCTAAATATTTTAATAATAATAGCAATAAGGTTATTTAATATATATCTAAATATGACATTTCTTCACACTATTCATATGAGCTTGTCCTGTGTTTGCTAATTTCATGTCATGTTTTTTGATGTTGTATTCACATTTTAGAAACATATATGTGTTTCCTCTTTCTAATTAGAAAAATTTAACTCCTTGTCCTTAACAACAGAAACCCAGGTGACAAGTCACAGGTGTTGATTATAAGTTGATGAACTTGTGTATTTATTAAACAACCTTGTGACCTTTTATGATAAATGGGAGTCCAATTTGACAGGTATGGTCAGGTATATTTGAAACTGATCCAGAGTTTACGAATATAATTGTATTTAGTTGTTTGTCGTGGATCACGTTAACGAGATCTACCTTTCTAAATGTGACAAGTTATTTATGCATAGGGATATCTAGCTTAACAATTCATATCTTGTAGAACACCACGCCTATCATGGAACGAGATATTGCATACCATTAAAACTAATTTAATCTGAAACAGATCTATTTCAACCTCCTCCAACATATTTATGACCAAAGCTAACTATTAACAATGTAATTTGACTTTAATTGCGTTACCAAATATTATATAAGCCTCAGAAGGCCAAACAGAAAAGGTAACTGACACTTACTCGCTCTATCTCTGACCCGCGTGCATTCAATTTACAATGATTTAACTAATATGATTATTTCTAAAGATATTTCAAGTGATCTTTTGTATATCTGACACGAAATAGAATTTATGCAACTTGCAT